CCCCCCCCCCCCCCCCCCCCCCCCAATTCAACCTCATCAGTCACATCCCGCAACTCTCAGAACTCTAAAACACAAAACTACAACTATGTTGCTCTTATCTTTTTTTTTTTTTAGGCTTGAAAATTTTCAACTTTAGGCAGACCTGAGAAATAACCAACATTTCAAACGTCTCTTTTAAAGATTTTAATTACGTCTGTTCCAGGTCTCAAACGTTTAGTTGGAATGTAGAGTATGTGAGTGGGTTTGGTTTTTGTTATGTTGTGCAATGAAAGCACAAATAAGAAAAAAAAGCCTATTTCGGACAGCAGGAGTGTCGTTTTGTGTATGCGGTTCGAGCCTGATGGAGCTTGTTATTGTGTTTGCTTAAATGCAACTTCCGGCTCCAGATCCTACCATTAAGAATGACAGTAAGTGTTGTTGTGTACGTGTTGTGTAACTTTGGTCCCATTTACAGTGTCTGCGTGCGCTGTCCTCAAGGAGGAGCAGTTCATTTCACATCGCAGCTTCTAGGTCCTCCAAAAAAAAAAAAAAAAATCTGGTTATATATTCGAGCTCTTAGAGCAGTTTCCGAGGCTTTTACTGTTAAAACAGTTCATCTGTGTTTCGCTCCGTCTGTTCAGACTCCACCAGTGTCCCTCGGCCGTCACATAATTTCTTCTGGTCTTTTTTTTTTTTTTGAGCCAACTCAAAGCAAACACGAAAACGTGGTTTATAATTCCAGGGACGTGGCGGACTTCGGGGAGCTAAATAATAACCTGGAGAGCCACAGAAATGAGAGGGGGTGATGTCTAGTGGAACGTGTCTCAGAGAGTGAAAGTAATGTCTTCGAGGGGCATTAAGTTTGCTGCTTCTTTTAAAAGGTCACTTTAATTCTTCATTCTCATTGTCTTTCTGATGTACTCTACACAAATAATCTCTAGGTTTTAAACAAAGGGAAGCTCAGAATCTGAGAAACGCCCGTCATCATGTGCAGTGAGTTGATAATCTCATTATCTGCTTGTGGACTACCTTTCTTTATATTTCAGTCTTGTAAATAATGAAAATAAAATAGGCAAGGATTAAATTCTTTAATCCTGATGTGCTGATGCAGGACCCCCCCCTTCCCCACCCCCAGAATTTGTTCTCTGTCCTTGATGTCCCTCCAGTGTCATCCAAAGACACCCAACACGTCCCAATCACAAAATGTTTTGTCCCAATGAAAACAGCTCTTCCAAAGACTGCTCAGAACGGGCGGGTCAAGTAGTTTTGTGCACTAGATTTAGAATCAACCATCCCTTCTTTTTGTTACAAAGTGCAATGAATAAAACTGGCACACGTTTCATTTTGGTTACACCCTGATTTGACCCGCAAGGATACTTGCACAACGGGTTTTGGGCTGCGGTCTTGTTAAGACTCATTATGTGACACATTCATCAGTCCTCACGGGCAGAAGTTGTTCAGGCTTCATAAAATTCCTGGTTATAAAAGTGAAAAATAGATAAATATGAAAATGTAAATTTGGTGTGTTCAGTAAAACGGATTATTTGACATTAAAAAGAAAGAGACTAAAACAGGGTAAAATATTGTAAGTTTAGCTAAAATTTAACACTTTACCATAGGTAAGTTTCTATCAGATGAACAGCAAAAATTATATTTTTGGTAACTTGTCTTATTTGGTTGTGCATTGAGAGTGTTAGCTTAAAAGGTATAGAACAGGACTATTCAACTGGTGGCCCAGGGGCCAAATCAGGCCCATGGGCGACCTCAGTTCAGACCGCCAGTGGGTTCATTTTTAAATAAAACTAGATTTTAAACTGTAAAACAAACTTACTTAATGACAATAACTGCTGGATGTCCGGCCCCTGAGCTCTTGGCTTCCAGTAATTGTGGCCCCCTGAGCAATTTAGTTGAATAGCCCTCGTATAGGACATTTAATTTTATTGGCTTTTTTAAAGTCTGGTTGTGACGAGAGGTTATGAGTAGTCAGCATCTAACAAGCAGTAGACAGCAGCAATTTCCTACTGAAGAATCAGAAGTCCTCGTGGTGAGTCAAGCTTACAGCTAATAAGAAGAAAACCAAATCAGGAAGCAAATTTCTGACATCTGAAACAACTCGAACATAAAACTTTGCCAGCCGTTTGGATTTTCTCTGTACTAAACATGTTTTACACTTTGCTACAAAATATTTACCAAGCTCCAAACTTTACCACTTTTTTCTAGCTGCAGCTCAGAAAACCAGTAAAATTAGCTCATGCTCAGTGACCAGGCTAACTACTATTAGCAATACAAGCTGATAACAAATACTTTCTTTGTGCATTCAAAGAAAGGGCGGCTAGTCTACTAATAGTGGTTTCAAAGTACTACGTGTGTGACTAGATTACTAAAATTCAAACAGAAAAAAGTTTTTAACTTTAGTTTATTAGTGCTGCTTTTCCCATGTTTCATGTGCGAGTCAGCCATATTGGATGTTGAGGTTGGGGCTGGTCAGGAATCACCAATATTTCATGTTCCATTTCTGACTTTGAGGGCGATAAGTTGATTTCTCAGACATATAACTCAAAAGTGATTACTTGTGAGTACAAATGGAACACAGGGATATTTACTCAGCTGAACAGCATCTGTACTGCTAAACATATTTACATCCACAGAGGCTACTAAATGTATCTTTCCACTGATAGCCATGACTCGGCTCCACCAGGCTGATCCCTAATCACCAGCCATGAAAATGTAAAATAAGTGACAATGTGCCTTTTTCTGGAAATTCTCTTTGAGCTCATTGATGCAGTTGATTCTGTTTGTTGGCTACAGAGTTAAGACAGCAACTTGAACATTGTCCAGTAGAGAAAATAGTAACAAAGTAAACAATTCTTATGTAAAAGTGGAATAAAGTTTTTTTTAAGTGGGCTTCACTGTGACTGCTGTCTACACAAGACTACTTATTAGTACTTTACACAATCCCACTTATAAAAACTGAACCATCTCTTAAAGAGTGTAAAACTTTCCTGGTTTGGTCTCTCAAAAATAACGTACACTGAATTTAAAGGTCACTAATTACCAAGTACTAATTGGTAAAAATCACTAAATAAATAAGTCATGGCAGATTCAAATTTTTGGGGTTGTATCTATTTTTTTTTTTACCACTTCCTGAGATCCTCACAGGGAAAAGAAGAGTCTTTGTAAATCAAAAAAGTTCATAACAAAAACAACAATCTTTGTAAATGTAAAAAATAAGGGAATAAGCAACAATCCTAATGTACACAAAGCTATTCTTTTCAAGTCAACAGCGCTAGGGGAGCAGAAAATATATAAAACAAAATGAATGTTCGGTCACTGAATAAGAAGTTCTCAATACCCAGTTTATTAAATATTATATAAAAATTAGGGATGCACGATATTATCGGCATGTATCGGCCGATATTAGCGATAAAGTTAAATATCGGATATTCTATCAAAATAACTCACAGATATAAAAGATGCTGTTTGTATGTATGTATGTATGTATGTGTATGTATGTATGTATGTATGTATGTATGTATGTATGTAT